CAGTTAAGTATTAATTTGAATTCCTTGAGTTTGAATTAATAATTTGATTTTTTGTTATAATTTATCATTATTAGTATGTCTAACAGAAAGGTAGTTGAATTTCTGTTTATTCATTTATTAGTTCACGGGTGTAGATTGTTCTAATTCCACGTGCCATACATTTTTTTTTATATATCAGTATCGGTTAATTCCCTTTAGTAACTCAATCCTCCAAGTTTTTGTCCTCTCTTCTCACAGTTCTTTGAGTCAAATCACATTTTGGGTTAATCAACCAACGCTTTTATCTAACTACTAAATCTGTATAAAGTGTTCGTTTCGAAGTTCCAACGTATATCACCTGAAGATGGTCGGAGCATAGGTCGTGAATATGGCAATAAAGATGAGGCCAAAACAGTCCGAACGATGTAAATAGTACACCTTATTTATGATGGCTACTTTGTATTTACACGAACATTCACTGTTGCTGTTAAGTAGGACTGGTAATCATTTTTTGTCTATAGACCTATATTCTAAAGTTTTCTTTAAAATCAGTACATCTGAAAGAGAGAATTCTGTTATTCTATGTAATGAATAGCGGCTCTGATTGGGGAATCGGGGGGCCAAGTTTAAATTAAACAACGGTGTTAAAGCTTTTATTATTCGACTCAGTAGACCTGAAAGAGGAATTTTTTTCATATTTACTTTACATGTAAAATTAAGCACGGATTTATTTTCAAAGATTGGTCTCAGAGTTTTAATTCTTCTATTTTGTTAGTTATGTCGACAATATATCGAGTGTATATTGTTAGTTTGGGTTATTTATAAAATCGTTTTTCTCGAGTTGACTTGCAAATTACCGATAGTGTTGGTGCGGAAGGTGAACCCATGGTGACGCCATCAGGTTCTGTGTGTATGTTTTTCTAAATGGTTGTATAAAGGAACTTATACATACATTTTGAATGCTATGTGTCTTCATGAAGTAGTTCACCACAGATTTCCTTAAACTACTATCTCAGAATAGCCCTGAATTCTTTGGAAATAAGGTGGGTTATTTTTTTCCATTGCATCCTACACGGGTTTGAATTGAGAGTAATTCTTCTCTTAGACTGGCTACCCCCAAAGCCAGAGAACATAGTCTAGACCAATAGTTGCTGGGGTTTGAAGAAAAGGTCAAATCGTACATTTCTCAAGAACAATACTTAGAGATTGAACGCAGAAAACATGAAATAAATTGAACCCGTCTATTCGTCATCTTTGTGTCATGTCTCTACAAGACGTGGGCAATCTAATCTAAAATCCCTTTTTTAAATCCCTTTTCTTTGCTATCCATTTACACAAATTCCTTAGGTAGGTCATGTGCTGCTTTCTTCTACTTCTTGTCTTTCATATGTCCTGTCAGTGTCAAATTTTCCTGGCCTCCTTTCCTCATTATGTACTCTAGAAATTTCAACTGTCCCTTTTTTTTGATACTTGTAAGTTTCCTTTTTTCAGTTTCTCTAATTCATCGTTGTTAGTTACGTAAAACTCCGTGGTATCTCTTCAAGTCTCTTCTCTGTCTGCGATATCCAGCATTCATTGTCATATAGGGGGCACTATTAGGAGATAACAGTTCATTACTTTTTTATACTAAGGAAATCTTCCTGTTTCTTACCGTCCTGAGTATGACTATAAACTTCAAACTGAACCAAGACCTCTGATCGGGAGATTGGAGTTTTTGTGGAGCATGAAACCACCTCTTACTGCTGTCTTTGTCAGGTCCAACAAATAAGTCCATATAATAAACTGACCAAAACTACATTTTTATAGCAAATAGACAATCAATGCAACACTAGAAAAATATAAAAATACATTTTTATAGTGAAATTACCAACAATACATTTTATGGTCTACAAAATATCTATCTAAAAAAACATACCTTTACTCTGAAAGTATAAAATTATGTACAAAATATTTGTAGTTGAAAGCATAAAATTATATACATTTGAACATTAAATTACATATAAACCAACTATTATAGTAAAATTACTGACAGTGTCTATTTATAGTAAAATTAGCAACAATACATATTTAAAGCAAAGTTACCAACAGTACATTTTATCTAGTTGAAAGCATACAATTGTCTTCAAAATATATTTAGTTAAAATCATTAAAATGTGTTCAAAATCTGTAGATTCTGGCATTAAATAACCCATAGAAGTTGATATGCTGTTAAACGAAATCAGCCAACAATCAATCAGTCAATTGTCTATCAATCGAAGTTACCTTCAAGGAATTTTGAACTAAACCTTTTCTTTAATCTATAGGGTATGTTGTTTTCATTCCACTTAGTTTGTACTCGCTGGCCCAGGGATTGAATTCACAATTATTATATCACCAAATTCATGAACCAACACTTTAATCCACTATGCTATTGTCCTATGGGACAATCCTGAGTCTTTCATTCCTACCTGCTACCGACATTGTTTCTATTACCTTGACTGCATTCACCACTGCTTCAATTCTCTTATTGCTGCTGAATTTCTCTTCCTTTATTTAC